CGGTGTTGATGGTGATGCCCCAGTGTTGCTGGGGGGACGCCGACTTGCTTGGCAAGCAAGATGTGCTCCTTCGTCTGCGGCATGGGGCCGTCAGCCCCGAAGATGATGAGAATCGCGTCGTCCATCTGAGCGGCGCCGGTGGTCATGTTCATGATGTAGTCGGCGTGGCCGGGGGAGTCCACGTGGGCGTAGTGGCGGTTCGCAGTTGTACTCGACGGTGGCGGTGTTGATGGTGGGGGGACGCCGACTTGCTTGGCGAGCAAGATGTGCTCCTTCATCTGCGGGCAGTCGGAGAAGAGAGAGAAGAACAGGAAAAGGAAAATGAAAACGGATTTAATCCGTTTTCAGGAAAAAAAAAAAAAAAAAAGAAGTCAATTTTTGAGAAAATTTTAAAAACGTTTTTATTTTTGGTTTTGGTAGGATTTCTTCCAAACGCAATTTCATTTCCAGTTTCATTTTTTTTCTTGAAAAACGTGAAAAACGTTTTTAAAAATGAAAACAAACGGGCCCAAAGTCACTAGGAAAAAAAAAAAAACCTAAGCCAACCACACCCACCGTCTCAGATCTGCCTCAGCTGCCGCCACTTTATCATTTTCCGAGTGACCACTTCATTGGAACCCGATCCTACGGGAAAATATGATGTTTTCGGAGCGGGTCGGAAAGGGGAATGTCGAAAAGGCAAGTGATAAAGGCATCCCAACGTTTTATTATTCCTTGTTTAAAGGCATCTTTAAACAAGGAATAATAAAAGTATAAGCAAATGAAATTTACAATCAATAATAAAGTATAAGGAAATAAAATTTATTTCACTGAACAAAAAGTAAAATTAAACTATATCAATTTGCGTCCAACTGTTTCAACACAGCCACAAATAAGTTCAACATAGTCGTAACAGTTATCCACGTCTCCGTTCAAAACCTCATCATCCGATCCTTCGTCGGCAAACACTCGATGTCTAAAAATAAGATATATAGAAACCGAACTTTAATAAAAAGAATTGATGAAAAAAAAAAAAATTTAAAACTTACACAGCTCGGAAAACGTGAAAGTTTTCTCGTTCGAGTGTGAGATTTCGCGAGAGGGCAAACAAAAGTGGCCCTCAGTAGAGGAAAATGGTTTCGATGGAGGATTCTTGAGTAGTCCTGAGTATCCATGACCTACCAATTCAAGGGAAAAAGATAGGAAAATTTAAAATATATATACAAACAGATATTTGGAAAATGGAAGAGGCTAGCAATAATGTAACTTAACTAGGCCCCGATTGGTTGGGAGATTGAGGTCTAAAGATTGAAGTCATGAGCTCAAATTGCTGTGTGGTGTCGTTTTAGATTGAGAACACTACTTGAATTACAGATCTTTTTTTGGGTCCTAATTCAAAATCAGGCCCCCTTGATTCAGCCCACGACTCAAATTTTTACACAGTAAAAACAGTGTGCTCTCTGTCTCTGGAGGAGTAATTCCTCGTGACCAACCCCCATCGAACTCCACGTTCTTGCGCAAAGAGCTCAGCCTTCGGTTGTGTCTTGACAGAGAATCTCTGCGCCTTCTCCAGTTTCTGCTTCTTCAAAATTTTCTCCTCTCTTCCCTCATTTCCTGCGACCTCAATCTCCCAATTTTGACTCCTCTCTTATGTGGTTTTGCACAGTTTTGACTCTTCTCTTATGTGTCTCTGCTCTCTCTTCTTTCTCCTTCATCTTCCCTCATTTCTGTGTACAGTCGTGCCTTGCAGAGTTGGTCTTCACTTGTCTGAGGTGATGAGAAATGTTTCGTGTATAGGTCTGCTCGTGAACAGACGACCGAAGCTTCACATTCGGTACCAATTTCATCAATTCTATGAAAGGTTGGCCACTTCACGCCGTCGCCGGAAAGGAACAAGACGGTCATCGGACAAATACAAAAAACTGTCATCCGCGTTTGGTGTTTTGCCGACAGTGACGTTAATCTCCTCCTCAGATTCGAACAATTTACCGGTAAGTGATCCTCACATAGACCACGGTTGATTTGCCTGTTTGGGAATTAGGGTTTCTGTCTGAATGTTTGTGTGGTTATGGTTGTTGTCAAATTTACCGGTAATTTGAGATTTTGTGTTTATAGATCAATGAAGTTTTGTGTTTGCAATTTTTATGTGAAGTTCATTTTATGAATTTATGGTATTCGTTTTATTGTGGAATTTTTTTTATAATTGATTGGTGTTTTCAGAATTTGCTTGATTGTTGAAAATCGCTATTCTTATACTTTGAGTGTCTTGCTATTACTGATGTTTTTGTTGATTATTTGACTATTTTTTCGAAGATTGTCATTAGAGCTTTTGTTGCTTTTCATATTCTATAGAGTTCTTGCAAGGCCCCTTGTTTGTTTTTTTTTTTAATATACCACTAGAATATGTATGGTCAATGAGCTCCGTGGGAAGATTAGTTTCTTCTTCTGCATTAACTAGATGATTCTCTAGGATTGCCGAGAATCTGTCTTATTTTGTTATATAAAACTAGATACTTATAAGGTAATAAGTCCAATTTCACCAAATGCATAGTTTAATGCAAAACAGAAATGGCACTAGTCATTTGATTTCGATTTTGATGAATAAGGACAGATTACATTATAAATATGTTATTTTTTTCCTATTAAACTGGCCAGAATTGGCTTCCTTCACAACTTCACATGGTGCTTATTTGATGTTTTAATTAGAATTGAGATGTAACTGTATATGAGAGTTTTTTATTATAATAAAAAAATTTTGATGTGATTATTTTTTAGAGTTTTTTATTGTTGCAAAACTCAAACTTTAAACTCAAATCGGTGAAATGAACGAGCCTTAGTATCTTGTTCGGTGGAGGCTGTTTAGGTTTCCCGTTTCCATTCTGCAAATGTGTTTGGCAATCGATTATTGTTTATACAATCTTGCATTTGATTTGATTCAAAGTCTTTTAAAGATTGTTTTTTTCATTCCCTATATTTGCGACTCTGTGTTGGAGAATTGCGTTTTGGAAATGGATTATTGTTCATTCGATCTTAGGCAGTTTCTTTGATTCAAGTGGATTATTGCTTTTTTGTTTATGTTATTTTTGGTTATTGGTTTTGATGGTTATTTGCGATCGGCCAGGTATTGGAGCTTGCAGGGAACGCCGCGGGAGATAACAAGAAGAATCGCATAGTGCCGAGGCACATCCAGCTTGCGGTGAAAAACGACAAGGAGTTGAGCAAGCTTTTGGGGTCGGTGACCATTGTCAGTGGCGGAGTTTTGCCCAACATCCACCAAACTCTTTTGCCTAAGAAGGTGGGCAAAGGAAAGGGCGATATAGATTCTGCTTCTCAAGAGTTTTAGGGCTCCCTAGTTTTTTTTGTCATCACTATACAATGTAATGTACAGGGAATTCTTTTTTTTTTTTTTTGCTAATCAATCTATTTATAATCTGCTTTGGTGGGTTTATTCCATTTGATTTGCCTTATTTTCTTAATTTTGATGCACAAAATATAGTTGAAGAGAAGCAGTATATTAAGGATTAACCAAGCTTAGAAGACGACTAAACCGTGACCTATGTGATATCCTTTACCAAGCTAATCATGCCCAATAAACTTCCATTTGTTTCTTTAGTCCCTTTTGAAGAAGTGAATGCAAATGCAAGTATATGCTGAGGCAGTACTAGAGTGAGGAAAAACACCATGTCACTTGAGTAATATGCTATGAAGTCGCCCAAGCTGTTCCTCTCATAATTTTGATCGAAGATGTTTTTCGAGAATGACCGATTAGCGATGATGAAAACTACAGCATCATTGGGGTAATATTTGTACTAAACTAGGATTAGAAGCAAAATCTCATAATTGCCTTGACATTAAACGACTGTTGTCTACCAAAAAAAAAAAAAAACTATCAACTGATTTGTACAGTTAATGGTGCATTCACTGTATTCGAGGTTTTACGTTATTTGGAAATCCATGAAAGAAAATCGTTATTTATCAACATTAGTGATCAATCACCACCCATGTGTTAGTACGTGAAAACTGTTACATAGTGAAGTAGGCCCCACATTATAGAAAAGTGTGGTGATGTATATGGCCGTGCTCACAAAAGAACTGGTTAGACCGATGTTTGAGCGGCACTTAAGTTGGAAGGCTTGATATCTCTACTGCGAACATATGTTAAAAACTGACCAGGTAGCTCTTCCAGAAGTGCTTGAACAGCAGATATCTGTCCACCTATGTATCAAGAACCATAACCCACGTTACTGCTTTTCTAATTTGCACAACAAATAGTAAGAGGATAAAGAAAAAATGTAGTTACATGTTGGAGCACATAATTGTACTTTACCAACTTGAAGACACTCGTTAATTTGGTAAACAAACAGGTATAAGTTTTCACTCACTGTGAACATCTCTCATAGGAACAAACTGCACGATGTCTCGTGTAGCCACGCGCCCCGTCGAACTCTCTAATCGACATCCATTATCTGCATCAAGAATCTGCCAATTGCCCGAATTTAAGTGTCACAAAGTCCCTTAGAACAACTGATACAAAAGCAAAGAAAATACGAAGCAAGAAAAGTAGTACCTCCATTTCTGTGAAATCAGCACCCCCAACTCCAACTATAAGAACCGATAACGGAAGATTCGATGCCTTCACCAAAGCATCTTTTGTTTCTTGAAAGTTTGTAAGGACTCCATCCTACGAAAAACAACGCCCGCATTTAGCAATTACCCGATAACCAACAGATTCAATATAACAAGATCATGTCCTCGTCTTCACCGTTATAATGAGCAACACGTAGTACTTGTTACTGTGGTGTGAGAGGGACTCGCCGGCAATTTGTGCAGCCCTATCAATAACTTGACCGAACAAAGTAGGTCCAGCGAGAGAAACCTTGTGCAGAGCTCTGGCATAAGCATCCATGATGCCTTCAACTCCTTCAACCTATTTAGAATTGTAAGTTTAGACCAAAGAGGGCAAGTGTAGAGAAAATCAACAATTAACGCCAATTCATTTATGTACCTCAAAGGCACTTTCATTTGCACTCAAGTTAAAACAGTGTGATATGGTACCATCCGGTTTCCTTCCTCCAAAGCCCCAAGCGGGAAAGCGCCTATCAGAGTCGTAAAACTGAATGACCTCACCAACTTGCATAATTGCCTGCAATTAGTTTATCCATCAATAATCAAACATCTTTATCAATCAATATACTCTCTCTTTATTTCAAGACAATGTCTGATAGTGGAAGAAGTCTAACTAAATCTAACAAGGGTTAATGAGCTTGTAGAGTATCGAGTAACCAGAAAGCCATACTTGCTGGTAAGAATTCAACCGGCCATAAGGACTGATGTGGTGCAGAGATGTTGGATCTTGAGGATTTCCGTTTGAAGCTGGGAAAAATTATTAAAAGGATAAACCAGTCTTCAGTAAAAAATTATGCAAAACATCACAGATTAATCATCTTTAGATAAATTTGGGACTATTTACCTGTAAAATCAACAGCAACCATAAAGTTAAGCTCAAATCCACTAGAAATGTAATCAAGAAAGCTGAACTGTAACTTCTCTTGAAATTGGTCCACGAACAGCTGACCCTTAAGTACCTGTCATTATTGAAAAACAGTGATATTAAAACTGAAGCAAAATGAACCAAAAAACTTGAAATTTAGTTGATGTATGAAATAAACACCTTTTCATGACCATTCTTAGATGATGGCAACAAAAAATTTGCACCAGTTCTCTCTTTGTGGAGCCTTTCTAACTCTGCCACTGATTTTTGGAGTTTCCTGAAGAGGTCAACTTCAAATTCATTCCATGCTATTTTCTTCTTTCTCCGGATAATAAATAACAATAATCAACAGTAAGGGGAAAAAAAATATAGGAACCAATAAGCATAATAATTACCCAATAAGTACGTGATTTCCACTGCTATTGAAATCAAAACACTCAATAATCAACGGGTTGGCCTGTATCAATTTGTGGTCTCATTTGTTGCATACATTTGAACAAATAATGCAAAGCATGCGATCAATAATATAATCTATTTGGAGTTGTTAACATTTAACTCCAAATCATAAGGTTATTAAAGCTTGCCTTGCTTGCAAACTGTTGCATACTCAGGCATAGCGGTTTCCAAGTGGGATTTAAGTCATTATCAACCACTTCAGTCTTGCAAATTGGAATGGAGCCTCCAGTCTCCACGATTCTTGAAACCCTTAAGAAAGGATCCTAAAGGAAAGGAGGAAACAAGAAAAAGAAGGTGAAGAAAAAAATTGAAATCTTTTTGGTAAGATACTAAACAGAAATTTGTATCTGCATGGAAGACAATGGTTTAAAACTAGCTGCTATGTCTCAAATTCATACGCTTTTAGAAAATAGATCCATGTTTTCCAAGTTAGAACAACGGAATTTTATCTCGACAAGACTCCTTGAAGCAACTGTCTCTTCAGCATGGATAGTGAGTGTTCCTAGATTTCTTGCACCCCGGCGCCCATTGTTGTTACTAAGATTTACCGTTAAACTCCGGCTTTGTACAGTCACAATCTGCCATTGGAACAAAGTTAAAAGAAAACTTGACATATAATTCTAAATATAAAAATATGACTGAAAATTACAAAATGAAATAGCTGAAGTAGCTATATCAACACCAAAATTTGTTAAATAACTGAACAACTATATACGTTCATATTTCACCAACTCAATGTTAGTGCATTACAAAATTGTATTAGGCCTGCTAAAAGACAAGCCAAGTTACCTCTGAAAGAACACAAGTCGCTTCTCCAAGAAAATCTTGATCCTTCAAATTCAGCATCTACAGGAAAGTCACAAGAAAAAGTTCAAAAGATAAACTAACTCGTCCAGATTGTTTTATTATTCGAAATAAAATGCTAAAACTATTTATGTTCTTGAAAGGATTCGAGTATAGAGTCCAATAAGCGACAACTATTGCATATGATCAGCCAAATCAAAGCAAAAACTTCCCGCTCATTTTCAGGATTCTCATGAAAATTTGTTTTATAACTTGCCAATTTGACAACAAAAACAAATTTTTTTTTTAATAAGAAATGAGAACAACAAAAACAAAATAGCTAAAAGTTCTTTGTACTATAGATCAAATGCTCTCTATATAATTTCTTTTACATTTCAATATTGGGAACTTCTAAACTTGAAAAATTAATATTTTACACAGTGAGATTTATATACATATAAGAATTCATAATTGGACAAGAATAACAAAAGAACTTCGGTTTAGAAACAAAAATACAAATAATAGACAAAATCTTAAAAAGGGAAAAATAAAATACCTTAACAGGTATATTGTGATATTTTGTATCAACATCATATACATGAAATCTGGGGTAGATGAAAAACAGAAAGAGAAACAAGAAACAAGAAAGAATATGAGTAAGAAGTTGTACAAAATCTTTTACATGGACAAATGAACTAGATCTTTCTATACAATTATAAGGACTATGGAAAAGCTTACATCAATCGCTTGACTGTTTCAAACTGATATGAAACCGCAACTTTGTTTATCCATGCAGGATTTAAGCTATTCAATATTACTTCGGTCCGCCCTAATTCCTCTAGTTTACCATCTACTTTCTTGGCAAACACAACAGCCATGGGATCACTCTGATATAACATGAAAAAATGTGTCAGCCTAAACCACGCTTAATATCATACGAGCCACGCCATTATATAATGCATGTATAGTTTTTTAAAATACCTTTGAAGTAATGTCGCAATCAAGTAAGTTTGATGCTGAAAGAGATAACTGCAGCAAATGATTTAGCATTCATTACTATAACATGGCAATCAAGAAAAACAAAAGAAAAAAAAACAGAGCGAAATATTATATGCAGCTTTTGTTATTATTATTTTTGATACAAGACGAGATAGAACTCAAACACTCTAGTGCCACTAGACTAAGAGGTCTTAGGCTTATATGGAGCTTTTTTACTCTGTTACAATACATGTTACTGAACATTAGGATGTTTGGTTGATGAATTCAGAATTATGATTCAGAATTAAACACTGTAGTGAGCCACGAACTATGATTCAAACCATGGCACAAATCATTGAACCAAACGCACATTTAAATATGGATAATATCACATCAAACTTAAAAAATTAATAAAATCTAATACAAATTTGATAATATAAACGGAGACCGGTACACAACGGTAATAATCTCAAGATTAAATAGTGAAACAAAGCAGCCATATATAAAAAACGGCAAAAATAAGGTGCAATGCAATAATCATATTACAAATAGGAAGAATTCTGTAGTAGAAGACATGGTTTAAATTGTCAGATTAAATTAGAATCAAGTTAGATTAAAAAAAATAAGACAATTTTGCATCGCGTGATCAAAATTTGACAGTTTAGAACGGTATTTGTGCATATTCTTTTGTCCCCTGTCACAAAAATTATTTTTCAAATAGTTAAAAAGAAAAAATAAAGTATTTCTAATGAAGGAATGGGTTACGACAAAATAGTTGATTTGATTTTGACATTTTGGACATTGACCCTTTTCATAAACTGCAAAGTAGTACAACATATGAATATATATAGATAAGATTTTAATAGTTATGTTTTTATTAATGATCATTATTAAATATAAAATTTTAATGAGGTAGTGTGATAAATATTCAGTTTTATTAATTATAATTTTTTTATTAATTATATAATTTATTTTAAATGTTAAATTAATATTTTATAATTAAAATAATAATATTATTTATAAATAAATATTAAAATAATTATTAAAACTACACACTTATATACACATAAAAGCACAAGACGTGCAAAACATAAAACATATGCGCATAGACATGCAGGCAATTAATAATAATAATAATCATAATAATAATTATACTAATAATAATACTATATAAATAATAATAATAACCTCAAGTTGGGTAAAGAGCGGGTGTTGGCCGCGAGTCCGGTGGAAGAACTCAACGGCGTCGTTTGGACCTTCACCGTAGCTTGAATTTGCGACCATGGCTGTGGGCCTCTGCTCGGCCCCACCTATTCCCTGCTTCCCTCCCTTCATATCCGAAAAGCACCCTCCCATCTCTCCCTCTTTCTCTCTCTTAAAAAAATCAACCTTAATTCTCTCTCTTTCTTTGCCTCCCGCTTTAGGAACGAGAACCCTAATCCCTTTTTCTCTGGTTTCTCTCTGAGATCGCTGAGAAATACGTTTAAAACAATTTGAATACCTAAAAAAAATGTCTATTAACTTTCTAATTAATTGTTCCTTATATAACAATTAAGAGCCGTACAGGGAAAATGGAGAGCCTTTTTTTATTAATTATTATAGGGAAGTTGGTGTTTTTAGGTAAGAAAACAAAGACGTTAATAAAAGAAAGAAAGAAAGCAATAGTTTCCTATTTAGCCAGCAAAAAAAAAAAAGGAAACGAAAATATATACTTCACCTAAAATGCTTTCTAAATATAGAAAGGTGCAAGAATTGTCTAATTTTATAGGAAGAATTGCATTTCCAGGTATGCAAAGTGCAAACATTATTTTTATAGGACCGAGGAAACCATAAATTTCTAAGAAAAAATTATATATGAACGTAGAACAATCAACATATGGGTGAATGTTTATAAGCAACTTTCCCAGAGAAAAAAAGTTTGAATTAGAATTTTAAACTTTAGAAACACGAGGGAGTTTCTGTATAGAACTTGTTCAGAAAAAACTGGCATAGACTTCGGCCTCGTTTTTTCTAGTCAGAAATGGATAAGACTTGAGAAACGTGTGATCTCGCAAGGCGTATCATAATGGTATTGTGACGTAACTGCTTTTGAATTTTTAAATGCACGAAAAATAATAACTGTAACTCCTTGACCCATGCAAATAAGGAATGAGTTTAAATAATAAGATAAATACTAACCTAAATTAAATAATTTAAACTATATGTTTTATCTCCTAATCTAACTCAAACTAATAATTCGGGTGCGTTTAATTGGTGTATTTATATCATAATTTAAATTATAATTCGTTATTCATTACAGTATTTTTTCATACAAAAAACACGCGTTAAACTTTTAAATAAGAGATAATTACTATTTAAATTAAGTCTAATAATTATCCTTATCAGTCATCACCAAATTGCAGTTCAACGTGTATTATTCAAGGGACGCGGAAAAAAGATCAGCGTGCGAATTTGTTCTTTTCTTGCCTTTTTTTTTTTTTTGCTCCCATCTATGTGCCGTGTAAAATATGATCATTTATAGTTTTAATCTTATAATATTCTACAGATAATTAAATTTGTTTTCATCGTGAGAGAATCCTCCAAAAAAGCAATATTGTAAACGAAGACAAAAAGGGTTGAACTTGAATCACGAAAACGTCAATAAATAATAATGAAAAAATAATATTTTTTTAAGGGATTAATGAAAGTTCATGAAAATAATCTTAATTGCTGACGCGTCGAGGAAATTTTTCAACTTTTAAAATAAGTAAATGTATTATGATCTGTTAATGCCTTGTTTGTTGTACATGAAACTCTCTCAAAATTATACGTATTGTCTCCTAGTAAATGCAATTTCTTTGATCAACACAAGAGAAATGCAATTTCTTTCTTTCTTTCTTCGACAAAGAAGAAAAATACTTTCCTTCCTTCCTATTTCCTTAATTCTATGTATTTTTCTCCTTCCTAGCTAATCCTATCCCCCGAGTAGTACTTATGGCCCCATTTATTTCACCAATTCAACTTTAAAATTTGAGTTTTACTTCAATAAAAAGGTTTCAGAAACAGTCACATCTAACTTTTTTGTTATAGTAAAAAACTCTCACATAAAGTTACATCTCAACTCAAATTACCGAACTAAACACGCCCTATAATTTATTAGAGATGATGAATTATTCTATCTGAAAAGTCATTGGTCAACCAAGAATATTGTATATCAATGATTCAACTCGGCAGCTCAGGTCAGGTCAATATGCGCGTGTGTTCGACGTTTCGTGTGGAGGACTCGCAAGAATAGATTTTTGCGGATAACTATTTAGGCCCCGTTCATTTCGTTGATTCGAGTTTAGAATTCGAGTTTTGCTACAGTAAAAAGCTCTCACATAAAGTCACATCTCAACTCGAATTAAAAACTCGAATCAGCGAACTAAACGGGCCATTAGTTTGTTACAACAATCGTGATTATTCTGAGCAAGTTAAATATAAAAGATATAAGTGTATCAAAAAAATATAAATGATATAAGAACACATATAACACATTAAACATTCAAATTAACAAAAAACAAGTATACTGAATTTAAAAAAAAAAAAAAAAACTTGTAGCATATTATACATATACTAAAGGAAGGGAAGAGTCTCACTGTTTATGCTACAGTGCTATGAACAATGTCCTCCTGGTTTACTCTTTTGTTTGTGTACTGACTATTTTGTCATTTGCTGTTTTTTTATTTTATTGTTTAATTTATGCGGCTTTGGTAATTTCGTTCATTGAGTGTTCTAGGGCTTTCTTATCCTTCTTCTGTCTCTGTTGGAAGCAGCTATTATGCTTCTGAAGCAAAAAAAAAATTTCCCACCGTCTCTTTTCTCTGTCTTCATGTTTTTAGCTACCTTCTTTCCTCTTTGTTTCTTTGCTGCATTTGTTCATTCTTCCTATTTTTTATTACCTATCTATTTATTTTTTTACTTTGGTTGGCTTTCTCATTTGCTTTCGGAGAGATTTTTTTTCTTTTTTTGTTTCGTCGATGGATTTGGTCATTTACTTTAGATCGATGTCTTTACATCGTCTTTCCTTGCGCCGTTTGTTCTCTTCGTCTTAAGCTTTCTTGGTTTTTTGGGTTTGGATTTTCTATTCATCCTTGCACTCATGTGGTTTTTGGATTTCTTAATTTTTTCTTCTCCATTTGTTTAGGCATATTTTTTTTTCTGTTTTGTCCATGGATTTGGTCGTTTACTTTAGATCGATGTCTTTACTTTCTTTTTTCTTGCACCATTTGTTCTCTTTGTCTTCAACTTTCTTAGTTTTTTAGGTTTGGTTTTTCCGTTCATCCTTGCACTCATATGGTTTTTGGATTTTTTTTTTATTTTTTCTTCTCCATTTGCTTAGGCAAAATTTTTTTTCTTCCCATTTTTTCTCTTCTGATTTTTGTAGGTGTTTTGGGTTTTGTTGCTTTCTTTATGGTTTTTCATTTATTTGTTTTTTTATCGATATATTTGGAAAAATTGTTTTCTTTGTTGTTTTCTTCATAATTTTTATATTTCTCTAAATTTTTCTAGGGTTTTTTCTCTGCTTCTTTTCCCTGTTGTTTATTTGTTAGTTTTCACCGTTATTTATTTCTTAATTTTTTGTGCTTTTTCCTATTTTTATTTCTTATTTTCCCCTTTTTTCCTTTCTTTTTTTCCTGTTATTTCTTTTTTTTTCATCCCTGTTTTTTTTTTACTGTTTGTTGATTTCTTCAATTTTTTTATTAACATTTCTGAGTTTGGGCGATTCTGTACAATTGTCACCGTCTTATTGTGTTAATCTTTTATTCTGACACGTGCATTTCTTATCTTTCGGTTTTGTATAATGCATATCTAAGATTTAACTGTCTGTTATTTATTGGTTTTGTTTTGCGGTCGTCTTCATGCTTTGTGATGGTTGTCGTTGATTAATCATTACTTCAATTGATTTCGCTTTGCAGAAATTTGTATCGGAGATTGAGCGAAACATTGGTAACTTTCTGTATATATAATGAATGTTATTCTATTTCTATATTTTCTTACTTTTCCTTTGTCTTCATTCTTTAGATATTACTATCTATTTTGTTCTGTTTTCTCTGCTTTCTCACTGTTTAAATATCTTATTCATACTAGCCTTTTATTACTAATCTTATTGCGTCTTCAATATTCCCTCGGTCTATTTCTACTGCTCAATAATTTTGGTTGTTTTGTTCGATCTATCCTCTTGCATGTGATTCATTGACTGAGGTATTTAATTTTGTTCTCTAATTTTTTTTGAATTTTTTTAGAGTATTGCTTTATGATGTTATGTTTGTTTGTTATATGAATCCTTTCATGTGTTGATTTATCTGTTTATTTCAATATGTTTTTATGAATATGAATTTCTTCTGCGTTATTTGATACAACACTATGTTTCACTTTTCTTATATATTTTTTCTATTACTTCTAAATTATATATTTTTCTTTTTTTCCTCATTTATTATGTTAATTTGGGCATTATTTCAGTTATCCGTTTATTTCAGTATGTATTGATGCCTATGCTAATATTTGTTTATTGCCTCTTTCTTCTCTTAATGTTTACTATTTAAATTGTGTGTAATATTGTTATGTCTTCAGAGGTTACGTTCCTATTTTACTTTTTACCTTCCTTCGTCAAAAGTTTAATTTTTTCATTTTTAATTGTTTTATTTTCTTCTCGTGATGATGTTGTTATATTTCTTTTATTGTTAACATGTGCCGGGCAATTGTTATTATAGATTTGGCTATCATTGATGTTGCCCTTATTATTTTGGACTTATGTCAATATATTTTAATTAGTTCTTCATTTTACTTTTACTGTTACTTTGTATGTCGCGATTTTTCTCATTTTCTTCCGCTTTTTTTTCATGCCTTCTATTTAAAAAAAATTTCTAAGCTTCATTCTTATTCATTTTAATTTTTATCTACTGTCATTTTATCGTACTCTGTTTAGTTCTTTACTTTGTTTTTTCTTAAATATATTCTTTTTGTTATTTCAATGTATATTGTTGTTCTAAACTATACTAATTTTTCTTACTTATGACATAAACTCCTTAATAATATAGCTGGCAGCCATGTATATTGCTACATCCTCTTTTTATTTCCTCTTCATTTCATTTTCTTACTTTTCTTGGTTGGTTCAATTTATTTGACTTTTCTAATTTTCTCTACTTTGGTTTTTTGCCTTCTACTACCCTCTATGTCTTTCTTTTTTTCTTCTCTTATGGAGAAAAGTTCCTTGCTTCTGCCGTTTCTTCTCTTCGGCTTTATCTTTTTGGGTGTTTTGGGTTTTGTTTTTTTTCTTCTTCTTTGCACTGATATGGTTTTTCGTTTCTTCATTTTTTTCTTCTCTCCTCGATCTGTTTCGACAATTTTTTTTTTATTTTTCTACCGTTTGTTCCCTTCTGATCTTTTAGGTGTTTGGAGTTTTGTTGTTTTCGTCTTTCCTGTACTAATATGGCTTTTCGGGTTTTTTTTCTTATATGGTTTTTCGTTTCTTCATTTTTTTCTTCTTGACCTGTTTCGACATAAATTTTTTTTCCTTTTCTACCGTTTGTTCTCTTTTGATCTTTTTAGGTGTTTTGGGTTTTGTTGA